ACTAAGCAACATTTATATAAGAAATGCACCCAAAACATAATACTTTGCAGGGGATGTTACATTTTCAAAAACAGTATAAACATCTCAATTCAAAGTCTGTATAACAATGATCGCATGGCATTTTGAACATCCACTGACTGACTCTACATTGGAGTTAGTGTTTCTTTACTGTTACTCATTTTTACTTCTGTCTCCCGTTGATTTAACATCTCCTTGATTACTTCGTTTTTTTTTTCCATTTTGTCAGTCATGCATATAAAACTAGGGCTACAATTAAAAGCATACTTATTGATTGACTGTCACAGGCTTCTAACGGATGATCACTGGTACCAGTAAATTTCAGAATAAATCATTCCATTAACTTTCATTATATTGATTATAACTGATTTTGGTGACACTAAAAGGCTTTAATAAGCCAATCATGAAAAAAATCCCACTCCATTAAACAATGTCTTACAGCAGCAGCAAGCAGTAAGCATTACTGTCTTTGTAATCTTACTTGAGTATCTTGAGGGGAATCGAGGTATCTTTGATGGCAACGATGACACCACCGTGGTCCAGATACAGGATATGATGCTCCTCCTCAAACACCTTTCAAAAGCAACGTGTTTAGAAATAACAAAAGGCATGACAGTCACAGGCTAATAAACATTTTGAAATGATAGATATAATATACTTTATCCTCTCAGATTCTCCTCAGTGGAAAGCTGAAATGGTGAGGTCAGAATGGGAAGAGTGAAGCAGTATAAAAGAAGAATTAAAAGAGAGGATGTGTACCTGTCTCCACGTCTTTCCGCAGTCTGAAGAGATATACATTTCTTCCTTATACTCTACTAGCTTGGAACCCAGGTTACCTGAAGGCACAATGAGGAATGGAGAATTTTATCAGGCATGAAGTGACCCTTCATGTGGGGCAGGCAACACTAACGGATTCAAACTGTGTTAGGGATGCTAGAAAGGGAATAACTGAAGAGACAAAGTCACAAAGGTTGAGCACTCCTCTTGAGAACTTTTTATTGCTGTGTGTGGTTTTTGTTTGTTTGTTTTTTACATTTGGCCAAAAGGAGAGAATATGTTTGAATTCTGAATCTGCCAAAATTAGCTAAGATATAAAAAATGATTTATCTCTTTCTCTGATCAAAGCTGGAGGGGTATATTTGAATATTGGAATAGATTTTCTGATTTAGTAAAGTTACGCTTTAAACCCAAATATCTTAAGGGTTTAGAGTTTGTACTTCTTTTGTAAATTAAAATGTAGTTACAATGTGTGTGCTTCAGTAACACATCACTAACTTTAATAACTTTTTTGGTAATGTTGTTGCTATAAAGTTTCCAGACAACCAGTGAAGACCCCAACAGGTTATACAGACGTATGATGTATGTCTTGTGAAAAATTAATTTAGCCAATGAAGATGTCACCCACTGGTTTCTGGACTAATTCGGAAGGTTAAAGGTTAGTTTTTGGTTATTTTTTTCAGATATCAGTGGAAGAGTGCTGGAGAAGTGGGCAGCCCTGGTACCTCCTAAATAAGAGTCCACTTATTTAGGAGCCAGGTTAAGGCAGGTACTTAAGGGGCCAGGATGTCTCCTTCTCCAGGCCTCTGTCATCTTCCCCCAACCTATGAGGATCATACACGATTCCAGTAAGGACCCGAGGTGGTATACCGTAGGCTATGGTTGTAGGGCCATACACAGTCCAAAATCAACCAGAATCAGGTTTGCCTCGGGAATTTGGTTGAAGCATGGTGGGTGAGTATTAAGTGTGTGAATGGGAATGTGCAAATGTATCCCATAGTACCACTTAAATTAAATATAAGTGCAAAACAATGACTACAACTATGCATTCCAGTATGCATCCACTGATTCTAAGTACAGATTGGACAGAATAATAAGTTAGTGGGACAATATCTGATGGTGTGCTCTGAATGCTGATGTGAGGTCATGTGATACTGTAGAGAAGGACACTTGTGTTGGTGAAGAGAACACCAGTTGCTGGTGGTGAAGAGCTGCTGGGAAATGGCCTATTTAGGTCACACATATTCCCAAGTGGGGAATGTTTATTATGAAGTTGTGTGAACTGACAGAGGCAGAGCAACTTAGATTTACCACTTCAACTTCCTAAAAGCATGGAAGAAGGCAAAGCTTGTGTCTCTGGTGAGCTAGGTGAACGTGCTTCCCTGTGATAACCATCTCTCACCGGCTGAGAGTGCATATATAGCTAAGTTGCAACTGAGCTATATCTGATGCGTTTTTTTTCTCTGGGGCCAGGTTGCACTAACCTCATAAAGTATATTTTGGTAACTTTCACAAGGCTGTCAGTTCAGTTACAACCCTATAGGCTGCAAAAACACCAAAGCAAAATGGTTCTCAAAGAATTGAAGGCAATGCTGGAGATGGGGGCATATAAGAGTCACTCAGTTTCTGATATAGTCCCATTGTTCTTGTTGTGGTTGTCTAAGGGTGGTCCTAGCTGGAGAGCATGGCACACCTTGATGCAGTGGTGGCCCCATGATCCGAAGGTCGGGGGTTCAATTCCCCTGAACAGCTACCCTGAGGTACCCCTGAGCAAGGTACCGTCCCTACACACTGCTCCCCGGGCGCCCAATGGCTGCCCACTGCTTCACTGAGTGAATGGGTTAAATGCAGAGAGGAATTTCCCCACAGGGATCAATAAAGTACACTTTCTTTCTTTTCTATATAAATAAAATTCAATTCAAAAACTATACTGTGTGTCTTTGTTGTCTGTGAGAGTTTTTCTTTTTTTTAAGCAGAAATGGGCTTTAGTAGAAAATCAAAAGTATGACTTAAATGGCTTGTTTTCTCTTTTTCACAAACAGACACAGGCAGCTTACTCACTGACTTAATTTCATTTTCAAGCCTTTTTTGCTTTCTGTCAGCAATGCCCCCACAAAGACAAATATAGTAAAGTATCCAATAAATAAAATTGCTGGCAGTTTAGTAAACTCCACCTTGTGTAAAAGTCCCCAGGTATGAAGCAGTGTGGCAGCAGTTTTATACTCCACCACTGCACAGACAGAAAGGAGCAGCCAAAGCTTTTCCCTTGGTAAATTAAGTGTATTTTTTCTATGGAGGAAAGGGGTTTTCTTGCCTAACCATGCAAACTCTTTACATAAATACTGCGCAAAAATCTTGAGCCACACCTTATTTCTTTATATTTTGATAGGAAAATGGGAAATTGCTGGGAAATACAACATAAAAGAAAAAAAACCAAAACACAAATGTGTTCAGTTGTAACAAACTTTATTCACCTTTATTCTTCAGCACAGCCTGAACTCTCTTAGGCAAGCTTTCTTTTTGTCATTCCTTTAAGTTGTCTTCAGGAATAGTTCTCCTTGATTCTTGGTAGACATTCCAAAGATCCTTTTGAGATAGTGGCTGCTTTTTCTCTGTTCTCTGCTAAGATGACCCCACACTGATTCAATTACATTGAGATCTTAGCACTGGGGAGGCCAATACATGACTGGTTCATTGTGGTTTTTTTATTGTATGTTTTCACTGCATTGGCAGTTTGTTTGGAATCATTGTTACATTGAACAATAAAGCCATCTGTGATGGTTTGGTACTGAATTTCAGTCAGTGGTGTTGGAGATCTTGTCAAACCTGATGAACTTATGAATACAGAAAACACTTGTCAGATTTCGATCTGGCTTGCAATATCAAAAGTGCCTGGAAAGCAATTGGCTAATGGCTAATGGCCAATCATTTTTCAGCCCGATAATTATCCCAAACCCACTTCCAATGCTGTAAAAATATACCTGGATAGAAAAACGCACAGTTGAACACTATCCTTGGAGAGTTTAGGCTGTGCTGAAGAATAAAGGTGGTCATCTCGAATCTTGACTTTCAAGCTAGACACAATTGTACAAACTCTGGGTTTTGCCTTTTACATTATATTTACATGATATTGTATTTGTACAGGTTTCAACAGATCGCTACATTGGCAAATGAAGACTCAAGACTTTTCCATTGAATGGATGGCATAGATAGACTTTTCCATCTCACTGTATATTAGGGGCTTGCTATTGTACTGCTTCCATGTCACTCTACCCATCCTCCTCATTCACACCAGCCCTTTGCATGACCTCCTTCACAGCATCAGCGAATCTTCTCTTTGATCTTCTTCTCTTCCTCCTACCTGGCAGACCCATATTTAATATTCTTTGTCCAGTATATCCACTATCCCTCCTCTGCACATGTCCAAACCATCTCAGCCTTGGCTCTCTGTCTTCGTCAACCTGAGCTGTCCCTCTGATACACCGATCTACTCTGATATACCATAAGTTTTGGGCTATAAGGCGCTACTTTTTGCACAAGCTTTGAACCCTGCGGCTTTTAGTCAGGTGCGGCTTTTCTATGGATCATGATTTTTGTGATATAGTAAGACGATTGTTTTGGTTGTTCCGCTGTTGTACAGCACTACGTTGCCTGGCGGAAGGGCATGTGATCAGACACACAAGAGTACAAGGGTACAAGAGTGGTATGCTGGTCACATGTCCGTCCGCCAGGCAACGTAGTGCCATATGAAGTAGCACGAAAAACAAACTTGATTAGCAAGGCTCTCAGCGAGGGAAATAGAGCTGCTGCACGTACCCTTGGTATAAACGAATCAATGGTGAGACGCTGGAAACGCCAGCGTAACAAACTAGCTCAGTCCAAAAAGACGAAAAAAGCTTTCAGAGGAAATAAGAGCAGATGGCTTAAACTTGAAGACTGTATTAAAGACTGGGTGAACACACAGAGAGCAAACGGGCGAGGTGTTTCAACTGTGCAGATCTGACTAAAAGCCAAAACACTCGCCAACGAAATGAAGATAGAAAATTTCAGAGGTGGGCCATCTTGGTGTCACAGATTTATGAAATGAAAAGGACTGTCCATCAGGGCGACTGTGTGTCAGCAACTCCCTCCCGACTACGCAGAGAAAATAACAAACTTCCGCAAATTCACACTAAGAAATAAAAACAAATGTATTCCATCGGACCGGATGAGATCATAAACATGGATGAAG